GGAGAATTTAAATAGAAAACTAAAAAGGATTCGTTATTATGCCAGGTATTTAAAAGAGAATTCCCTAAATATAATATTTAAATTTATTATGTCCAATAGCTAAAATAAATTGGAGATAAAGAAGAAATGTCATAAAAGTCTGGGGAAGATAAAAAATTTCAAGTTATAATTTTGTAACAAGCTTAATAAATAAAAGCAATATCCTTTGAATTATTTATAAAAATTTACCTCCAATTCTCGTAAAATTAAATCAACTCATCTATTTAACAATATTAATTACAAAGATAATATAGAAATATTATCATCTGTTGAAGATGATTAAATATTATTGATTCAGATGAAAATGGTGCTATATAATCTAAATGATGATACTAAAATTTAAGATATCATTCGGTATTTCCATAAGGATAGATAAATAATTATTTTAATAGAAAATGAAATAAATTGCCTGTTTGAAACATGATTTATCATATTTGTTATTTATAAAACAAGAGGCAAAGTATATTTGTGAATAATGTTGCCTGGAATTCAATGAATAATAATACATTTAATTTGAATGGTAAAAGTTAATTGTCATCAATAAAGTATAATTTATATATATTATATGAAAGGCACTATAATCACCAGAACATTTAACTTCAAAACTTGGTCTCCCATTTTCCCTCTATGTTTTCTTCTGCGATTTAGATAAATTGGATGATAAAGCCATGAATAGTCTTCTAATAAATTCCTAGAGTTAATTTTAAAATATAGAAAAAGCCGCATGAATATTTTTAAGAACTTACAAAAACTAATTGTTAAGAACAGAACTAAAAATTTATTGATATGCTTGTTTAAATAAAACAAGAACGAACTAATTTAACTTAACACATTAATTTAAAATATTGTGGTTAAATTTGTACAAAATATGATGGAAAGTTAATTTCATATTCTTAACTATAAAGGATCATTAATTTTATTTAACTTAAATCGAATAAAAATGTAAAAAAAATTTTCACAAATATACTTGGGATCTAGAGAAGGATTGTCTGGATATGCATATTGGAATAAAGTAAATGGTAAATCAGATTTAATCATTATATTCAAATCTAAAAGTGGTTATATTTGTGCACGATATATTATGTGACTTTTCAAGGCCATTCTTCTAATTTGGGACATTCATATTAATGTGATTAATATTAGAATATTATTAATAACACTCATCTATTTAGTTAAGAAACTCCAAATATAGCAGAATGTGAGATTTATTAAGTAATATTTTCTTGAATGATCAATAAAGAATTAAAATAATTATTTTCAATACAATTAATGATTTCCTATATTTGTTTAGCTTAAGCTATTTTTCTATTGTTACAGAAAACGATTCTTATGATATTTCAGATAGTTTA